AGTTTCTTTATACAGTGAGTTTATTAATACTGCACTCCACAACAGTCTCTAAGATACCATCCTGAACTTTATACATGCAAAACATAGACGCAGATGCACACACAGAAACACACGTGCATGTATGTGTATAGGTTTCTATGTCTAGATTAGTATATCATCTTTTGATATATGGTGGTACCTAGATACAGATTTTTGTGGTATCAATCACGTCAGTTGTTCCACTGTGTTTACAGGTGTTACTTGTAAGAGCAAGGTGAGCAGGATTTGGCTTGTAGTTGGGGGCAAAATGCCATCTGTATCAGTAGTTCAGTTTGGTTTTGTGTTTGCAAAATTAACTTACCAGAGCAACCTCCAGACCTTTGAGTCCAACCATCCTCACCAAGAACAACCTCTGTAGCCTTTGTAGTTTCTTTTCTGAAAGTAAGTTGTGTTTTATTTGTTCCTGCAAGATCAATGGCTTTGTCTATTTCATCTGATAAAATGTAAGGGCCTGATCCTGCCACAGTTGTATACTCAAAACTTCACTTAACGTCTGTGACCCAAATCCTGCTCAGCTTACTCACATGGGTATCAGCTGGCCTGATTGATTTTACTTCCCGCTTTTAAATAAGAAGCAAATTCCTTATGGTTAATTGAGTCTTTAATATTACCATAAAAAGCAGTGTGAGATCATAATCAGTGCTAGTGGGACTACATTCACTCACAAAAAATTAGCCAGATTTTGCCCAGTAGAAATTCTGGGCTTACAAAATAAGAATTGCAATTTAACAGGAGGTTATCCTATATCAAATTTCTCTGTTACAACATCTCTGTTCAAGAAATCCTGTAGCAGTTAAAAACTCTTACAGTTTCCACCAGATTTGCAGCATCAACAAAAGAGTAACGCGTCAGATTTACTCTGTATACCAGGAGACTCTTGTCCTTTCTGTTGCTCTTTTCTAGATTTAGCAAAATTCAATGGTGGTGCTAAATCAATTTTTTTTTTTTAACTTTCAAGGGAAAAAACACTGGCAAAATTGTGTTTTCTAGGGAAGGCTGTTTGTGTAAATGAGAAACAGTGGATAGCAGCGGAGTGATCTCCTGTGGCCCTGCTAGTACAAGCTTTCCCCATATTGTCTCCTGCTTTTATATTAATTACAACTTGCATTATCAGCTGCGAGTCTGTAGCCCAGCAAATAGAAAATACTGCCCCTGGAGACCTAGCTTCTTGTATCTATTTTCCATCTCCTTCTATTGTGCTCTACTCGGTATTCACTGCTTTTCTCCTGGTAACACTGCTCTTTAACACAATTAGGTAAGAGCAAGAGGAGCATCATATTTGACTCCCAATTATTAAAACTACTGGGAATAAATACATGTGTGCTCTTTGCCTTCTGTGGTATCTGGTGTTAGTTTAGGTCATATGTGTGTGAAAATTTTATAGTATGCACACGTACACAAAATAGGCAATTGCATTTTGGCAGACAACATCCGCACTCTTTAAAGTGTTTCGCCAAAGTGTATTACTAAACTTACAAGAAGATATGAGAAGCCATGTTATCAGTTTGTGTAATTTATCTAAAGCTATTTGGTTTTATGTTTTGTTGTTTGTATCTTTTTTTACAGTGTGATAGCTTAATACAAATATCATTGAAAGTAACAGAAAAATTGTAATTAATGTTAGCAGGTTTTGGATCAAGGATCTCTTTAGGTGCCTAAACTGTACTGATAAAGTGTTTCCATTGAAGTATACTTTAGAAGTGTCATTTGGTCCCATTCTTTTTGTGAAGACATACATAAAATAACTACTTATGATTAAGCATTTGGCCAAGAAGTTTTTCTTGAGGGATGCAAAGTTAGAAACAGTCTAGGGGAGAAAAAGAGAAGTTCACTGACATGTACAATGATCTTAGTCCAAAGCAAAAGAATGCTGTCTTTTTATGAGGCTGTAAATTCCACCTCTAGAGTTATTTGTCATTTTTTATAATATTAAAGCCTAGCTATTTCCCTCCCTTTCAAATTTCTCCAACATTCTACTGTCGCATCTTGTAAATATCCCATCTTATTATTTCTGTCCTTCAACAAAATTCTGCCAAATTGCTTCCTCAAGAAAACTGTGTCAGAAGAAATACATTGAATTCCCAATCAATACAGTCTGTCTTTCTAAAACAGGATCTACAAACTGAGGTCAAGAACAACTCAGCCTGGTAGAGACAGCAAGTGTTTTCAGCTGCGGGAATTCTTACTCAGTGATCCTTTCCAAATCGTTACGGTTTTGAAACAGAAAGGCCAGTCTAGCTTTTGAAATACTGTATGATAGGTTTTGGATGACATTTGCCTTAAAACATAGTCGAGGTGTTACCAGTTAATTATTGTAATTTTCATATGTGTGATAAGGAGCTCCAACAGCAGCCAGCTTAAGAGAGCCTGCAGTGCATAAAATTAACATAACTCGCTGTGTTCCCTGAAAGTTTAGCCTAGGTGAACATGTTGCAATTATTACATTTTCTAAAAGAAGGTTCCAGCCTGACATTGTTGGAGGGCTAAACTCATGCTATGCTATTGTTTCTTTCCTTTTTCATGTATTTCTTCTAGCTCTTTATCTGATTACCATCCGGCAAACAGCTGACGTTAAGAGGCTGCAGAGGGTTGAAGAGCTCCTGTCTACTGTTTGCCTTCAGCTTGAAGCTATTTGAGTGGCTTCCTAACTCAGAGATAAAAAGAGAAGCTCATAGGCACAACTGTGTTTTAATCCAGGCTGTAAAGAAACTTGCTCAGTTTTTGCATTTTATTTCCATCTGAACTTTTCACTAACCTTATTTTCAACCTTTTTAATCTGGGCTGCTTGAACTTTCAAGACTTCTTATCTTTCTTTTTGTGTTTCTCTCCACCTGACTCTGTAAAATGATGGTAAATTTTTTTTTTTAATTTTTTAAAATGAAATTGTGGGAGGTTACAGTATCAATAGTGATTTCTGAGACCTATTCAATACAACAACCTCAATGAATATAAAATACTATTGTTTGATGTAGGGTTTTTTTTCCTGTTGCAGTTCTGTGTGAGGAAAAGTAGATCAGTCTTCTAGGTTTTGGAGGGGGTGGTGGTTTTGTGCCATAAGTGCTGTTGTGCTGTCTGTTGCGCTGACGGGTGAGGAGAATTTCAGAGGTGAATTTCAGATCCTGTTCTGTCTTCTGATTTTACTTGTATCTTCCTGCTGTGGAACCACGTACGTGGGTGCACGTGTGTGTCTGTGTAAGGTGAAGGGGATTGGGATCCTTCTTACCCCTTGGTCACCTAGGGCTTTCCTGGGAACCTTTTGAAGTCATGGGCTTTTCCCCTTGTCTCTGCTGTGATCTGGGTCAGGCCCGTTAAATTTATGTTACTGGGTATTGTAGCAAGTCATTACTTGGCAGTTCTATTTTGTGTTGCTATAGAGCATGTGGTACTAATCAGTGCTCGGAGATTACTTTGAGATGTTTCAATATATAGTTTGGGACCTGATTCCAATCACAGATACACTGAATTTTACAATGGGTAAATCAGTTGATTTTGTTGAACTTATTCCTACTACATGTCAGGGTAGATGAGGTCAGAATCTGTCCTGCTCAAAGAATCTATCTGAATTTTTAGCTTGCTGCTTTCAGGATCTCCTTGTGCTTCAATAGTCCGGTGTTATTTTGAAATGCAGATTTAAAATGCAATCAAACCTAAGAAGCAATTTTTTTTTTTAAGGGGGGATTTTTTTTGTTTGTTTTGTTGTTGAATTATTATAATGTGGTTGATTTAAGTTGTCACATACAGGTGACAAGTAATGCAGGTCCAGCCTCTAGCCTGATCTGTTTCATGTGTTCTTGCTCTCCTTTTCTGCCAGAGGAAATTCCATCTCTTGCCTGCCTTCATGTGGTGCTGATAAAGCTCTTCCTGTACAGTAGAATTCCTGTTTTCCTTTAAGCAACAGCAGGGTATTGGGAATGATCAGGAAAGGGGAGGAGGACAGGAGGAGAATACACTCAACAAAGTAGCGCTAAACTGTAACATTAAGTTTTCCCCACTTATCCTTTTAAATAGCAGCTCCTCGCTCCAGGAGAGTCGATACTCAATAAATTAGAAAGCTCGCATGAATTACGTGGCTAAAGTACAGTAGTTGAGGTCTTACTTAGCCAAGTTTTACAAACTTCGTATGTCTGTCTTCTGTGTTCCCTTTTGTCGTGTTTTATGCATAGTAATGTAGAAAGAATTACATAAAAATCACTATACATGTTATTTTATATAATCACCTGGTGGTTATTCTTGACAATACTTGTAAGCGAACTGTTAGAGTGATACATCTAGAAAGTCTTTTGAAATGTGTCATATCAAGGTGGTGCTGGCGGGTGAGGAAGCATCTTTCCTGGTATATAACATCTTTCAGAGAAAGCTTGCTATTCCCCTCACAACTTTGCATTTGCTTGAAGTTTTTCCAGTGTTCAGATGGGTGAGAGAGAGGGTAGGGTGTGAGGATATGCTCCTCTCCCATGCATGTTCTCCTCTACTTTTTGAAACAGTTTCCCTTCTCTTCTTCTCCCCTCCTATCTCTAGGTAATCTGGGAAAACAAAGTGTGGGGAGACAGTTTGCATAACAATTATCCTGATCCTGATGTGAACACCTAGTATCATAAACCATGCAGGTTGATGCTCTCCCTCCTGTAAGGCTCATTAAGAAACTTAAATTTATTTATTTTTTTCTTCTCCTGAAATATTCTTCTGCAATACTGTTCAAATAATTAAATCCAGACAACTCTTCGGAAAGTTTTAAAAAAGAAAAAAATCTGTCCTTTATTTTACCAAGTAAATCTTTGTCCCTCCTCTGCTTGTCTTTGCTGAAGAATTATTACACTGTGCAAACAGTATCGGTGTTTGGCACATTTCACAAATGCTAATGTGTGTGCTTTTCCCCCCTTCTTCTCCCGGTTTTCTTTCTGTTCTTCATTTGCTATTGGAATGGGAACTGTGGAAAAAATTCCTTGGCACTCTGACACCAGAATCCTTCATCTTGGAGAGACCACGATGATGCAACCTCCACGCACTCGGCAGGCACACCAGGGCCCTCCAGTGGGGGCCATGCTTCCCAGAGCGGAGACAACAGCAGCGAGCAAGGTAAAAGGTCAAACTTTTTCCCTCCGCAAAGTAGGCATGACTAAAATAACTCCAGCTTTTTTTATTATATCAGTACATCTGCCTTAGAGTAAACATGGAGTGGCAGACTTGCAGTATAATCAGCTGTAACTTAGGGAGACGGTATTTCCTTTTCCTAACCCACTTAGCTGCATTTTATTATTATTTCAAAGCGAAATATCTAATCTTCAAACAAGCTTTGTAATAACAATTGATTAGTTCTGCCAATTCCTTTACAAATTTGGTTATCTACAGTTTATTTTTGTGTGGTGTAAGTAAATATAATGACAGACATACTCTCCAGCTGTGATGCAGTTGTTTGAGCTGGGTTATAGATGGAGAATTTAACCTGTAGTTTTAGCTGGGGAAGAGACTCCTGTACGAAGTTATGAAGCTGCTAAATTATATAAAGTAGAAGCAAAACCCAAATTGGACAGAAAAATGTTTCTTGCAATGTTTGCTTGTACGGACTTGTTTCTGCTTCTGAAAACCTGAATTCAGAATGATAAATAGAGATGTACCTGAACCGCAAAACGTCTGCTGGATCTGTACAGTGGAGCTTTCTCAAGGGTTCAGGAGGTTTGCTTATTATTTCAGTTTTTTTTTTTTTGTTCTATTTCCTACTGCATTGCACCTTGTGTGTGGTCATCTGCATTCGTGCTGAGTGAGTGTCAAAGGCTGTCATTCTGATATGATAGTGTTTTACACTTGCTCATTAGAACTATAAGTGACTCCAGAAGGTAGAAGAGTCAAACCTCCAATGTGAAAAGCGGGGTAAAGATGGTCTACTGTCACTCTTGGATCTTGAGTCAGAATTGTGGTGTGTTTTTTTTTTTTTTAATACCGAAGTTTAAGGGGGCCCTGGTTCTTACAAAAAAAATTGTAAACATGGCAAGCCTCTGCTAGTGAGTAAGACATGACCTTTGTAAGGTCTTGTGATATGATGCCTCCATCTCTCAGATGCACCTCCCCGTGCATCTGCAGCATTTTGCCACTGCATTTCCCCCACATGGGAGTTACATGTACCCAGCAGAGCCAAGTGACAGGTCTGCCACCCTACTAGCCATGCAGGGCCCCAAAACTGGAAAGGGGAGCAGCATGCAGGGCTAGAGCTGCCGTGACTAGCCTTGCACTGCAGGCTGCTTCCCACCATGATATTTGCCACGCTTAGGTAGCGGAGCAGATATGTGGTGTCATGTCTCTCACGTGGCCCACTGCTTGGCACAGAGCTAGATCCCCTCATCTGTCTCATGGTCTGGTGTCATACCTACTGCAATTCTAGGAACTTGCAAAATTTGTTTCTGGTAGAGTGGCTTGGGTTTGTCTCCTATTTGTATGAATTGTTTATACATTTGTAATCTTATTGCTGATAGAAAGCAGCCATGGCACAGGGTGTGATCCAACTCCAACATGAGTCACGTGGGATGTTTTCCTATGTGGTTGGACTGGATCTGTACGAGGCGCAGTGTGAACTACTACAGCTTCAGCAGCTAATGAAAGGGAGAGCTTGACTGCTAAGCAGCAAATCCATGTTACGTCTATTAGCTGGTCATAGACTTCACTGTTGATCAAATGTTTACATTGTATATTGTGGCTAATAAGCTTGTTGTAGCAGATGATCATTTGTATACTTAAAAATGATTCCTCTGAGTCATCTGCCACAGCATCTTCATTCGACTCCTAGGTAAGAAATTTCCTTACACCTATATCTCCACTCTGCCCCAGCAACCTCTTAGAAATTAGAAGAATTTCTTCGTTGAGCCATGCTTGATATAAAGAAATCCCTTGTATTGACATCCAGGGATCTTGCATTTCACAAGTCTCTGATCCCTTGTCATGTAACGTGGGGTGCTCGAGAATTATTGCTAAGCATAAGAAAAAGTAGTTGATGACAACTGTACCAACTTCCCATTGGAGACTGAGGTTTCTGGTAATATATATGATTTAAACAAACCTGTTACACTCATTTCTGCTGAAGGGCCAAATCAGTCACTAGTGCTGCCCGTCTAGCAGAGTAAAACATAGCTACTATGCTTCCCTTCGTGCTCAGTTGGGCCTTTTAAAGGGAAGCAGTCGTCCAGTGGCAAATCAGCATTCCACTCAGCTGCTGGCAGCTGAAAGATGTACGATCCTACAGCACCAGCAAAATTCCCATTGGAGACAGCTTTGCGTTGCTCTCCCCCTCTCAGCCCTGAGAAAGGCTAAAGAGAGGGAGGCCTATACTGAATTTTCCTTACACTTCCTTGAGGGGGGGCAGGGTTTACTTCATAACTCGTGAACTGGCCATGAGTCAGGCAATGCCAAGATGGGTAGATGCCCTCTTGAGCTGTTCCAGTGCAGTTACTTATTTGGGTCAACTTGATTTCCCTGTAGTTTTGTCAAGACCTTCCACAAATGCGGCTTCAAGTACTCCACTTGCCCCAAAGGGTTTCTTGGGAATGGGAGCTCATTAGAGAGTCTTAGGTTACCTTAGTAGCTTCTGGTCTCCTCCACTGAGGTCTGGTGGCAGCAGAGATTGATTCAAACTAGTCTTCTGGCTCTCGGGCGCACTATTTCCAGGGGTCTCTGCCTCTGCCTTAAATCTGTGATGTGCAGCTTGTGGTTTAATTTTGTTTTGGGGGGAGAGGGGATGGAAAGGAGTTGGGTGAGTGATGACATTATTTTTGCAGACTTTCTCTGCATGAGGTAGATCTATTTATTACACAGAAGAATTAATCCATAATTCTTAAAGTTAGAGCCAAACACAGAAGGTGTGGGCATTTTGTCTGTTTATGGAGGACAGTCTCTCCATGACAGTGCATGACTGCCCTTTGGCATCAAAAGGGTTAATCTAGTCAGTGTTTGGTATTATTAGAAACATGCTGGCATTGAAAGAGTTAAGGAAAGGGCCTTCAGGCAGTAAATGTTGAAAGATTATCCTAATTTTATTAGTGGTGAGTGTCTATGTTGTTCTTAACATGTCACCTCCCTTGTTCAACACAAAACTAAGCTATACAACATATTGATCATCTAACAAACCAAAGTACTACTGACCTGTAATCTACCACGCATTTACTGACTTTATGCCAGTTCAGATCCACAAATTCAAATCAATGCCCTGTAATACTATTTTAGAGATTAGTAATTATGTAGTAGATCTGATCAACCTTCCCCCTGCCCTGGAAACAGAAAGAGTTAAATATATCCAATAATAAAAATAAAACACTGCAAACATCTTACAAAGGAGAAAAAGAAGAAGCTGATTTAATGGTCTAATGAGGCCATCTTCCAGAGACTTGTTTTGTGTAGGGCTTGCTTTGACCTTTCGCTTTGCTCAGGAGCCCAACGCTTCATTTTTCACATTCTTGCAATTACGTTAACGCTTCAAGCATTTCTGACTCCAAGTCAGCTAGCAACACCAGGCATAACTCAACACTGTGAGTTTTTCTCCTCTCTGTAGATTCATTAACAGGTCACCGGGGTCCCAACTGAAATTTAAAACTGACTGGTTCTGTTGGGTTAGCTGAGTTATAGCAAGGGAGATGGCAGGAAAGGGGCTGAGAGAAGGGGAGGGGAGAGAGAAGACCCTGGGGTTTTTGCCAGGGAATATATGTGTAAAAACCCTAAGTGGAAGATTAAAAGGTGTGTGTAGCTTTATCATCCACCCTTTTCTTTGGAGAGGAAAAAACACATCTGAAAGTCTTTTGGGGTATTGTGTTTTCCTTATTCTCTGTGAAACAACGTGGAAATGGCCACTGCCTTTAGATAGAAGCCTAAATGACTTCTAGAATTTGGCATCAGTTTGTACCACAGTGATGGATATGATGCTCCCAGACTTTAATTCCTATTTAATCTCTTTATGGGATAGTTAAAATAATGAACATGGCAGATAATGAATGAAAAGTGGGAAATAAATCTTTTTAAGGTTTAAAAACATGTGGTCTATAGGAAAGCACCAGGGAATAGTTTCGATTTCATGGGTTTTTTTGATACCAGGATTGTATACCTGATTTGTCATATTCTTAGTTCAGTCACTCAAAGGGCTTGATCCAGCCAAGTCAGATGGAGGCTGTGTTTCTTCAGGATCTTTCAGGAAGTTCAGCATCTTTTTAGGATTAGACCTGAGGTGAAAAACTTGACCATAAGTGAGAAGCCAGAGACAAGAAACTTCTAGGTTATACAGCAGTAAAAATATAAACGGGCATCACATCCATTTTGCTTTACCCATGTGAGCAGTTCATCGGTGTGTGGGTTTTTTGGTTTGGTGCTTTTTTGTTGGAATTACTTGTGCTGAATGAAGAAGATCTGTCCCTTTATAAATAACATCTGAGGCTGCTCTCTAGGGCAACATCTTAAAGTCGTTTTGAAACACTTTTGTGACAGCTTGATGTTTGTTCCACAAATTTGTCCATAAAAGCTTTCTGTGGCAAAGACTCCTCATCTGGTTTGGGGCAAAGTCAACTAAGATATTAGCTGAAATTACGTGTTCATCCCAGGTTACGTCTCTGGATTGATGTGTGTTGGAAAAATTAGGTAGTGTATTTTTTTATTCATTATATACGATCTTGTAATAATGATGGTATACGAATCAAATTTGTTTGCAAAACAAGCTAATAATGCCCAAAGGCCTGTCCTAGTATTGAAACTCTACTGAAACTACATAAAGCTTTGAACCAAACTCTAGTAGTTGGAAAAAGGAGAGGGATGTGTTGTTGTTAATAATAAAAAAACTTGTTCATGCAAAGTCTTTGGAAGCTTAATAACCAAAAGCTAATGCTACAACTTCTTTTTCCTGGTTCTGTATGTATAGATAAGCCTGCTGAGGCTAGTATGCATATTCATCATAAGGATTCAGAACATATTTTTATTCCTTTGTGGTTTTACCTATAAAGCTATAGGGTATGGTTTTATTGGGAGAGAGCTGTCTTTTGTAAGAAAGGAAATTCCTAATAGAAAGGCTCAAACATCCAGACTGTGAAAAATCAAACTTGCTAATAAATAATGCTT